GCTTAAGTTTTGTTTTAAACTGGTTTAAAGAATAATTAGATTTCAGCTCATTATTTAATATTGTATTCCACAGCTTAGGACCTCGATTTACAATTGAGAATTTGGTTGCTGTATAATGTGTTTTGGATTGAATGTAATTGTTTTTTGAAAATCTGGTAGGGTATATGTGGTTTATTTTTTCAAAAAGTGAATTAAATAACATTGGTGATATTTTTTTATCAAGTTTAAACACGAAGATAAGAATATGGTAAAGGTTTAGTTGATATACATTTAGAATATTAAGTTTGTTAAATAATGTTTTAGTGTGAGAGAAACGGTCTACGTTTGTAATTATCCTTATAGCCTGTTTTTGTTTACTAAACAGTTTTTTTACTTTTGTTGCGTTTGTGCTGCACCAAGCAACGTTTGCATCATTTAAGTAGCAATGAATTAAAGAAAAATATAAGTTTTTTAAACAAGATAGATTTAAAAACTGCTTGGCTTTATACAAAACACCTATATTTTTTGATATTTTATTTTCAATTAGACTGGTACATTAGACTGGAATTAGTTTCAGCTTCATTGCTCTTAAATTTTTTACCAGCGAGCATTCTCTTGAGATCTGAGAACAAGAAAAAGTCACTGGGGGCTAAATCTGGAGAATACGGTTGATGAGGAAGCAATTCGAAGCCCAATTCGTTCAATTTAAGCATCGTATTCATTGACTTATGACACGGTGCGTTGTCTTGATGAAACAGAACTTTTATCTTCTTCAAATGAGGTCGTTTTTTTGCAATTTCATCATTCAAACGCTCCAATAACGCAATGTAATAGTCACTATTGATGGTTTTTCCCTTCTCAAGGTAATCGATGAAAATTATACCATGCGTATCCCAAAAAACAGAGGCCATAACCTTCCCAACCGATTGTTGAGTCTTTCCACGCTTTGGAGTCGGTTCATCGCGTGCATTCCACCCAGCTGACTGTCGATTGGACTCCGGAGTGTGGTGATGGAGCCATGTTTCATCCATTGTTATGTATCAACAAAAAAAATTGGTTCTATTTCGATGTAACAGCTCCACACTGCTCAGAATCATTAATTCGTCGTTGCTTTTGATCGATTGTGAGTTCACGCAGCACCCATTTTGCACAGAGCTTTCTCATATCCAAATACTCATGAATAATATGTCCAACGTATTCTTTTGATATCTTTAAGGTGTCAGCTGTCTCCAAAAACTTCACTTTTTGATCATTCAAAACTATTTTGTGGATTTTTTTCACATTTTCATCGGTAACAGCCTCTTTTGGGCGTCCACTGCGTTCATCATCTTCGGTGCTCATATGACCAGTACGGAATTTTGCAAACCACTTACGAATTGTTGCTTCGCCTGGTGCAGAGTCTGGATAACACTCATCAAGCCATTTTTTGGTATCGGCAGCACTTTTTTTCATTAAAAAGTAATGTTTCATCAACACACAAAATTCTTTTTTTTCCATTTTTTTCACAATAACAAAAATAGCGTCACTACTAGAGCAATATATCACAAACTAATAATCTGATAGCTGTCAAATTTTTACACGTATCTTTTCAAGATTGGTACTAACTAAAAATGGTATGAATTTAATTCTAGCGGCGCCATTTCTTAGAAACGATACGAACTTTTCAGCCCAACTGTTAGATGAGGGAATACAATTCGGTCTTTTTTCTACAGCACTCATATTAATAAGGGTACCAGAAAGAGCTTTATGTACGTCGTCAGCTTTTAAAAACCAACCAAGCATCACTATAACAAAACCATTTGATCTTAATAACTTATGCTGCAAAACCATCTATTAATAAAAAATTTCATTAAAACATTATTTAAGTAGTCACCCATAAAGTGTGTCATGCTGAATTTGACTTTTCAATAAAGATAGGAAATCATTTCCGTTTCTGCACAGTGATCATCATTAAACATATAAATTTAAAATTGTGCAAGGAAAGAAATCTTCTTAGCACTAGAAAAAATCTTATACGACTATTTATTAGTAAGACTCTTTACGGATGACCCCTAATATTATTTATTAGCTTTAAATTTAAAATAATATTTTTAACATACAAGCATGGCTTTTAGCCGGTTCAAGTTTTATAAAAGGAACTGGCACATCAGAAGACCAACAAAGACGTTTTTTAGGAAGACCTATTGTTGTATGAGTAGCACCTTTAGGTCGTGCACAATGGACAACACTTTCAGGCAAGCAAATCTTTTTTAACTGAGTATCTAAAATGAATGTACAAAATGCTACAACTCCATTTTATTCTTACATAATTAATAATTATATTTAATACAATTATCACTCTCAATTGCATTTAATTATTTTGAATTTTATATATACCGACTAAACCTGCTTCGTCCTGCACAACAAAACATTCTTCTTGGTTTTGTTGCGAATTATTGACAGTAACATAATGCTCTGAAGACACATTTCTAAAATTAATCTCATTTCCCTCCTCTTTGTTCAAAATTTCAAATAAGTCTACATCATTTGGTGCTCCTGCATCTGAAATAATTTGATTTGAGACTATAACAGATACCCCTAAGTCTGTCTCAATAAGTTCATTTAACACCATGACTTTGCCATGCTCCCAACCCTTCTGCAATTATTGTAGAAGACCCATTCTCTGTTCAAAAGAAGATCCAGTTGACTCGGAAAAGTTTGAATAAATTCACTAATGCTTGTTTGGACTGTTATAAGTGCAGTTCGGTCACCCATTGTTTATATGTGATCTGATCATCAAAATCAAAATCAAGTCTTCAAATTTATTTTACCAGGGCAGTTGGAACATAGATGAAACATGCAGTTTTAACTATCTATATTACAAACACATATTTTTGTTAAATCTTTGTAATATATTAAATGGCTTTTAGGAAGAGCAGGGCACATCAACTAAGCATTTTGATGTTAAGAACATACAAAAACTGAGCGGCTTCCACTACTATCAACAGTAAGGCACCACTTTGGCCTTAGTTCACAAAACTTGCTGAATCCAACTTTGTGTTCAGGGTATAACTTCTTGAATTCCAAATGAAGTTCTTTTAAACAAATTAATATTAAGAATTTTTGTTTAAGAACTTTAACATTATTTATATGCACAGAAACAAAGTCTTTTTTTCCTGGACATTGTCTAGTGTATTTGTCAGGTTCATATATTTAAGTGACTCTCTGCCTAACAATATCTTCCAAAAGATGTCCTTTTTTAGCCTCAGGTTTAGCAAGTATTCCCTTTTTAATTTTCAGCTCTCCGGCTTTCTTAACAAAATGGTTTAAAACTGAAAATGCATTGCAAGATTTTTTAATTGACCAACTATCAAGAGTTAATGTTAGTAACTGAACTTTTTCTTCATTCAAACTGATTTTTACTTTTTCCTTTATTGCATCTAAAAGTTTGTCTAAATCATTACAGTTAATGCACTTTTGCTTTTTCTCAGATATTATTTCCTTTGGGTCTATATCTAATGCTGATGCCACTAGGTTTGTCATACTTGTTTCCAGTTTTTTAACTTTTTGCTTTCCATATTCTAATTTGTCACGTTTACTTACATTTTTTAGAGGAGATATTTCCAGTAAAGAGTCACTCTTATTTAAAACTGTCTTATTTAGGTCTGAAGAACTAAACTCCTCATCATCAACATCTTTGTCTTCATCTTCTTGAATAAATTTTCTTGTAATCTGTTCAAGTTTGAATTCATTCAAACAGTTAGTGCAAAGTTTTTGACCAGGTTTGATTTTAAGTTGACTTGTTGTTGAAATATCGACTTTAGATAATCCCTTAATAATTTTTTACTTGTGGACTTTAAATGGATTACAGCAGTATTTTTTAAGGGCTTCATATCTAGAAATATAGACTATTTCATGGTGAAAACCTATCTCCTTATTTAGTTCAAAAGTGTGTCTAATTCTTTGAATTAAAACTTTAACATCTGTGTTCACAATATCTTTTAGTTTTATTCTTCCAATCGTTCTACAATAATACGTTTTATCGCAATCTTCATTTAAAACTTTCCCCACACAACATTTAAAAAGTTTAAAAAAAACATAAACATATTAAATCTCAAAGAAAATAACAAACATCAGACACTAATTATGACACTGATTATGTCATTATTATTAGTACAAATTAGGACATTATGTCATTAAAAAGAAAACTGAATATATTCATTCAGAGATAAAAAATATATACTACTGTAATATGACTAATTATTAGACTATGACTATTATACCCTATGACTAATTATTAGACTATGATCTAAAACTAGCTCATGGTCTATTAACATTCTCCTTTTGAAAACATCACTCTCAAAAGGCTACAATCATTTAACAAGATAGAGTATAGGTCATTAAATTTTGTTTTGGTGATTGTCTATATATAGAACCTCAACATTAAAAAGTTTCATAATTTGTTTCAACTGTTTACTATGCCAGCAAAGTCAATGTAAATTATCATAATTTTTAAAAAAAGTGATTTTTCAATAGGCTACTGCATTTGCTAAATTAATTTTTAATGAATAATTTTGATTATTCTAACAAGTAATGACCCTAAGTACACAAAAGTAACAAAAAAATTCACTTTCTTTACAGGTGAGTTTCAACTCATCCGTTTTTCTACGGGAAAGGGAAAGGGAACGAAAAATAATCACGTGAGCATGCGCAGTTTTCTTTTGGACAAATAAAAACTTTTATTACGCATGCTCACGTAATTATTTTTTCCTTTCCTATCCCATTGCCCTTGAAAAACGAATGACTGGAAACTCACCTTAAGTAAGTATAAACTGTAACATGTTAAAGTTTGAAGAAAGATTTATAATGTTGCAATATTTAGCAACTTTTGTTTCAAAAACTGTTAAAAATCAGTCAAAAACAACAGCAATAATGGATTAAGGCATGCACATGAAAAAAATGTAAAAGAAGAAGTACGTCATTTTTTTTCAGTGGTTATATTAAAATCTTTTTAATTGTTTTGTATTTTGTTTACAACGTGTTGTGGTTTCAAAAAAATCTATTAGTTTTTTGATTTAACTTAAAATTAGTTTTAAAAATGACAAAAGTAGAAGACCTAAGAGAAAAAATTATGCACAAATATTTGGAAAATCCCAATAGTAGCTACAACTCGATAGCAAAAGCGTTGCAAATACATCCATACACCGTTAGTCGTGTGACCCAACGTTTTTCTCAAAGAAAATTGATCAAACGTAAATATGGTGGCAGAAGAAAGAAGGGTTTTAAAGATAAAAAACTAGTTAGAAAACTGGTTACCATGTTTTAAGACTAACCCAAGCCTTTCACTAAGGGAGCGCATAAGCATTTATGACTTTCTCATAGTTTTGTTGAAAAAGTTCAAAATAAACATGGCTTTCTTTCTTTCAAAGCACAAAAAGTGTCCAACCGATATGAAACTCAACAAAAAAGTGTAAAAACCCGCCGCAGAAAGTTTTATGACAACTTTATTTCTAAAAGTTTCTGTATTATCGAAGACGATGAAACTTATATCAAGTACAATCATCAGCAAATTCCTGGTGCCCTCTATTACATTGCCAAATGTAGAGGAAAAGCAGCTAAGTAATTTAAATACATAAAATATGACAAGTTCGCTAAAAAACTCTCGCTAAAGTTCGCTAAAAGAACTCTGAGGTGGTATCCTGGGAGCATTATGTGATTTGATATGGAATAACCCCCCTCCTTCATTTTTCAATTTTTTTACCACTTAAAAAAATTCTTTTTAATATCTCAAAACTTTTAATAACTTAAATTATCTATACCAAAAATAATACCATTTGCAGTTGAGGTTTGGTAATATACTGTGATAATTGACAAACCCATACATAAAATTAAAGAACCTTAATTACCTCATTCGCCATTTTATTTGCATTTTTATTACTTTCATTATTGCATAATGTTTGATATTTATCAGTGATACTTATATATCAATATCATTATTGGTTTTATTATTATTGCTAATATAATTATGACTAGCTGAATTGACCCGTAAAAATACGGGTCTTTGTAAGTCTATTCCACACAAACCTTTTCCCTTATTTTCTTAATCTAGCTGTCCGTATCGATAAATACAGATCTTTTCTTCTACTTCTATATTTATCTATTCCATGCCAACCATTTCTTTACTTGTTCCTTATTTCCTTCAATATTTTTTAGTAAACGGTGAAAAAAATTCCGCATACGTATATAGCTTGTTAAACCCCGTTTATTTATTTTTTTTAAAAAAAGTTCTGAACTAAACTACTTCCTACTTTTAGACCAGACATGAACCATGGTTTATGGTCGCGTCCTAGCCATTTAAAATAGTTACTATTTACTATATTTATTATTATTATTATACGCTTAGTTTTTATTAAATACGGTCTTTTATAGTTACCTTTGTATTAGACGGAAACGGTAATGCAATTCTTTAAAACGTTTGTCGCTTAAAGCGTCAAAAGTCATGCAAAAAAATAAATTATAAATTTTGTGGTTTAAAAGTTGAAAAACTAATAATAATATAACAAAAAGTTTGGTAATTTTTAAACGTTATTATTTAGCTCTTACTTATGGTATTTATTTTGTTTTCATTTTACATTTTAAAAAAATGTTGAAGCGCCTAACTACATGCATAACTTTGATAGCTCACAAGTTAAGTGCGCAGTCATCAGAGTCGCTGTGCAAGGCTTCAAATCCGCGCCTAAAAAATCTCAATACATTTTTTTTAATTTTTTTAATCTGGCTATATTTATAGCAAAAAATTGAATATAACAAAAAACCTTTTAATTGCTTTTTTTTTCTCGCCTCCACTGCAATACCATGTGGAGTAGCAGGACGGTTTTATCAAATTCTCTCCTTCTTAGGTTTTAGGACCTTTTTTTTAAAACTATCTGTAGCTTTTTTTGACCAATTATGTGAGAACAGTATCAAAATCATGACACACACGCATCAAATTTTTGCCCCGTTTATTGGTGTTTTTAGAAATCCAAATAATTTATAAAATTTAAAAAAGAAAAACGGTTAAAGTGTATAACATTTAACTTGTTTAAATTCACAAATATTTTGTAATTTAAAGATTCTAAGAAAAAAATCGCTAGTGGTAAATTTAAACCACAACTATTACGTTCAGAAGCTTAGCTCGCTAACCACTCGGCCATGCTGACACATCAAATATCGAAATTTTAAAAATAAATAAAAATTGTTTTTAACGGAATTGCTGTGAATCAAAAATTCAGGAGAGGTTGACGCAATTCAATTTTTAAGTCAAAGTCAAACTATAAAACTTGAAAAATGTTTCAGCATGTTTTATGATTACTTAATTACGTACGTTAGATATTTGCATACACATTTTCTTATAAAAAAAGTTCTGCGACTCTTTCTACTAACTTTCTTATTATATAGAAGATAAATAGATTATAAATTAGTTTTTCACTTAAAAGGACAAATTCTATTCCACATTAACCTTATCTCTATTTTTCCCTCTAATATTTTTTAGTGAACAATAGATTATGTGCTAGAAAAAAAAAATTCACATATGCACCGTTCCCGTATATTTATATTTAAAGCTTAACATGAAGAAAGTAAATCATTTAGTTCAAGACAACATGCACAAATCCTAATCCTCTGTTGATTTATACACACTCACTGTGGCTGGGCGTGTAAAATAAGTAGCTAGGCAAGTCAAATAAATTAACTTGATCTGTTTTTCTGCATAAAACAAAAACAGAAAATGTGAAGTACTTGATATAATGAACTGTAATATTGGATTTAGTTAATTCAATACAAAGTGATAGGAAACTGCAAAATAAGGTAACAACGTGAAAATTATTCAAATACTAATTTACAACAATTTGTATTGCGTTTTATTAAAATAGCTTTATTAAATGGTATGAAGATTGATGATTCTTCTTTTTCGCCTTTAGAAAATGATTAACGATTTGAAAGACTTTTAAATTGATTATAAAAGCATTATCTAAAAACGAAATAAAATCATTATTGATAACACTAAATGCACATTTATTTGTTTTATATTAATTCATTTGAAAAATGAAAAATACGAAACGAAATTTAGTAATATTAAATAAATATTAAACACTTACTTTGTGAGAGTGCTTTTGTAAAAGTCTCTAACATTTGGTTAGAAGGCTGGAAATACTCTTTTTTTTAAAAAATTCAGTTTTATCAGCATAGCTAAAGATAAAAATTCTTATTGACACAAAAAAATTTGGCATTTTTTCTTAAAATATTTCTTGGTTTTTAGTGAATGATTAAGATTAAGTTTCAGTAATGAAGCTACCCAATAATCACCTTTAACGATAGACACCAACGTGAAGGTAAGCCAAGCTGTCTATCAACACAAAACATTACAACAACATTACAGGAGGACAAACAATAACACCAGTAGTGTAGGCGGGATTTTTGTTGTTTCAGATATATATTAAGAAGCTGTTGAAGAGTTTAACTTTGTTATGTCTAAAAAAATTTAGGTTAAGAAAAACACTTTTTTTAAACATTTGTTTCTAAGCATTAACAACATCAATTTTTTGCAAAGTATTTTAATACTATAAACGTGAATACACTTAAGTTTGGTTGAAAGTGCTATCTGAAGCATCAAAAGACCCTGCCTATGCTGAATACACATAGCATAAAATATATTTTACATAACACATTTGCACATAACACAAATCATTCAGATTGCGACTTTACAAACCCACTATAAGCACAGAATAGCCATTAAAATTGGCCATTCTGATTCGCTTATTTTGAAAGAGAGGCAAATCCGCAAAATTGGAATATAAGAAAAATATTCGGCGTTAAACATAAAAATAAAGAAAAATAGTTTGATTTTGTTTACTTTTTGCTCATTAGTTTGTGTTTATTTATTTAAAATTGTTAATAGATTTTGTATTTATTTATTAAAAATTGGACTCCGTTGCTTACTATTTTATTTAATGTGCAATATAATTGTCTTGAATAGTTTCATTATTATTTGTATGATTAAATCAGTATCGTATTGAATCATTAAACGAGTTTATCTTAAATTACAGTGAAAGAATAATGAAATACCATGTCAAATTTTTCCAAAAAGGTTAGCGCAAAAATACTCAAGTATATTCGAATAAAATATAAATTATATAACAATACTTTTAAGACTGCTAAAAAAATACGTTAATGACTTTGAGCATTAGCAACATTTTGTTCAACAGCTAGACTGATATTTCTTTGTCGCTAAACTTTTTTCCGTTTCAAAACTTCAACTTTAGTTGGTCGTCCCATCGGCACTGGTCTACTACCACGTGTCAGACCTTCTCTTCGTCTCGCAGCAGCAGTCGGTTGCGTTTTAATTTGTCCGAATCTTCTTTTTGAGCATAATGCTGTTTTTAATGAAAACAGAGTTGCTAAAGCGCTTTCGGTGGTATTGACACTTTTCAGTCTAAGCTTTAAACTATTAATAATTTTTTTAGAATTGGGATCGATTTTAGCTAAATCTAATAACTTTTTAAATTCAAATATAAATTCTTCACAATCTGTATTTAAAGATTCCGATTGGTTTTTTTTTTCAGTACACGTCAATGACAAAATATCTTCGTTATTTGCATCGCCAGAGATCAAACAGTTTTCTTGAGTTTCAACTGCGAAAATTACAATTTACTGTTAATTTAATAAATGTAAACCATGTTATAAAATTATTATATTATAAAATCATGTATGTATTCAATATAAATTACAAAAAATTAAAACTAATTGCAGATATCAAGGTAGTTGGACCAAAAAAGACCCGTATCGAATAATAATAATTTTACATACATACATACATACATACATACTTATGTGCGTGCGTGCGTGTGTGTGTGTGTGTGTGTGTGTGTGTGTGTGTGTGTGTGTGTGTGTGTATGTGTGTTCTAATAAACAAATATATTTTCAGATGAAACAAAGTGGGCTTATATCGATGCAACTACTTTATTAGCCTTTACAATTCAATTACAAACCTAAAATATTAGAAGATATTTCAATTTCGCTTTGATCTATATCTCTCAAACTTAAAAAAAATTCTGGTTCAGGGCACTTCGATCCAAGTGCAAGCTTCCCAAGTTCGTATCTGTCTTTCGATGTAATAGGTGGAGCGCACGGAAAATTAATTTTAAAAAATTTATGTATTGCAGCCATGTGTTTACAGAATCCACCTTGCCTACCACTAGGACATGAACAGTAGCCAACGTCACTATTGACTGTATATTCGACATTTGAATTTTTAAAACTAGGTACAATGTAAGTGTTCCTCTCCAACAATTTAATAGAACTAATGTTTATTTTTTCAGATTTTTGACATAATTTGTTGTAGAATATTTCATAGGCAGAGCAACGATTATATGCAGTATTCAGAAGACGGTTGCTATAATATCTGTCCCAAACATTGACAGTATAGTCTACAAGTGCTGCAACATTGAATGCTTTTGTTCTACATAAAACAATATCTTTAAGGATTCTTATTGTTGCTTCACTAAAATTATTTGTATTGTGGTTTCGAATAACTAAGTCTTTTCTATATAACATGACAAATTCAAACTTTCTCTTGTTATAGTATTTTTTAACCCTAATATAAAACTTTGGGTGCGTTAATTTTATGCTTTTTAATTGGTGTAACGATAAGTCAAGTTTTTCGCTTGTATCAGCATACATAATCTAGAAAACAAACTTGTAGATAATTGCACTTGAAATTCCATATAAATAACTTTCATTTCAAAAAATAGTAAACGAATTAAGAATTACTATATAATTAAGTGGTTATAAATCTATTTTTATATGTAACTTAAATACATTTTTAAGCAAATGGTAAAGTTTTTGACGATCAGTTTTTGCAGCTTTTTTAAGCAACCAACGCCATTGTGCTTGTAATACATGAAAATAACATAATAACCTTGTTGGCCATACAGAACTTAGTGCATTTTTTTCTTCACTTGAGTCATCCAGCATAAAAACTTGGGGCTCCTACAAAAAAATAGTTAAAATACAATGTAAAACATTTAACTAATAGAAATTCCGATTTAAATTAGGTATTGTGGCACTTGTAAACATTTAAGTTTAAAACCTTATCTAGATCTTTATATGTTTAAAGTTCAGCCCTTATGTAGATCAGTGTTTTGATAAAGTTCAGAAAACCTTTAGCCAAAATATATTTTCAAGAGTTATTGAAATGCTGCTTAGTTAATTAGGAATTGCTGTTTAGTTAATTAGGAAAGAGCTTGCATTTGATTTTGAAGTGATCATCCATGTTATATTTTAAAAACTCGGAAAATAGTGCATAAAACATCCGGTATATATTTTCCTAATTTTCCTTTTAACTTAGCTTTTAATGTGTGACAACTTTAAATCCAGACAAATTTAACAAAAGAATGTCTTTTCTAACGGAGTTATCAATCTTATTAATTTAGAAAGCATAACAACAGGTGAGGTTATCAAATTATCAAATATTGTTAGACATATCAAAGTTTGTCAGGATTTTTTGTTGTCTCATCTTAGCTGGTGGGTTTCTTCATTTTTCTGAAATTTTTCTTAATTTTTGTATGGATTTTCTTGATTTTTGTATGAGTGATGACTGCAAAAGTTAATAAACAAATATATTACAAAAATTTATACTTTAAATTAAAACATTTTGGAAATCCAAAAAAACTAAAACTTGAGAAAAATATCCGGAATTTTAGAAATAACCCGAAAAAGGTAATTCCTGACTTTGTAATACAAAGATATCAAATTGTATATATAAAAGAAGGTATATATGCTAACCATTTCATGTATAGAGATAAATGAAAAAAAGATAAAGTTAGGCTATTATATTATATTATTATATTATACATATGCATACATAGAATATACTTATAAAACTTTAAATTACCTCAGATCCTCCAAAACATCTTGGGCATTCTAATTTAAGAAGTTTGAATGCTTGCTCATAATTCTCTTCAGTTTTATTAGCATGAAATAGAATAGCAATAGGGATACATCCTGCGGAACTTGATGTAGACACAATTGTAACATTTGTTTGTGAGATATCACAAGATGAGGTAGTATCTACAAACACAATTTCGGAAGAAGATTTTCTTAGTTGATTCCTTTGCATCACTTCAGTGACCACTAGTACAGACCATTTCAGATCTTCTTCAATAACTGTCACCAACGCTCCTAAATTGAAAAACACTGAAAACTGCCAAAAAATCTGGCAAGATATAAACCACCAATTGATAAAACGATATGGGCCAGTTCATTATACTTTAGCCAGTGGCCTGTGGGACACCAAAAAATAAGAAAAATTATAAAAAATAGCGAATAAGTGAAGTTAGCTGAAGAACTTTTCTATTAACCAACAAGGTCTTACAGGTTACTTTACTGATTAGGTATTACTATCAGCAATACATGGGAAAATTACAGAAAGCTTGTTACATAAAAGAACTCAAATGTGTCTATAAACATATTATTCATTTTCCAAAATGCCCACCTAAAATGGCAGCATTTTTTAGTAACCCTATTTTCTTACCTATATGAGTTAAATGTATTATTTAACTCATATAGGTAAGAAAAATTTAAAATGTAAAATTTATTGGAAAACAATGCCCCTCTAACCTGCCTGCTAACATTGAAGGGGTGAACTTGATTTTGTCATTTAATAACAATAAAAAAGATATGGTTGGTTGCCCCCTCCCTGATCTAGTCTTTATGGCTTTTTGCAAATGTATCTATTTAGGTGCTTCTAGCACAAAATAACTGTTTTTTAATACTTTTCTGTTAAAAGAACTTTGTTATTGCTTTTTTTTCAGTTTTATTCATTATATTACCTTTTATTTGTTGGATCTACTCTATACACAAAATTATATAGGAGAAATAGCTTAAATAAATGTCCCACAAAATTTTCTTTAAATTGGTTAAAATATAACGAGCTTACACATATCTGACTTTGTTATATATTTTTTTGTAATATATAAAAATACATGTCAACTCAAAGTAGAATTTGGCAGCAAACCTTCTCAATATAAACTAGGTTTTTTATTTATCATTTATCAATCTTATTTTCAAAATAAATCATTTAAATAAATTATTTTAAAATAAACTGATTATTGTTGTTAATCTCATTTTTACCTGATTCTAAGTATACATTTCTTTTATTCTTTAACATCTCTAAAAGATTTTTAAGAGCAAAATGTTTTTCTTGCCATAAATTGTATAAATAATAAATTGTACGTGATGAAGGATTAAGTGAGGCATCTGCCAAAAGAAAGGAGCCATTTTCATGATAAATAAAGTTATCTGTGTGTATACGTTTTGCTTGAGCTGGACTTAATCCACTGTTAAAATAGTTATAAAAAAGTTTTTTTGTAACTGATGACACTGGTAAGTATTTCATCGAATCTGCACATTCAATGTTATGGTTATGGTTTTTATGAACTACTATAACTCCACTAAGGGGAGGTTCTTCTTTTAGATATTGATCATTTTTCTTAGTGTTTGCATTTACTTTTTTGATTTTGATATCAATTTCAGCTACACAGTATGTGTTTTTCCTTGATTTAATTTCTTAATTTAGTTTTGAATGTTGACATTGATATTTTCTATGTGCCACAAGCCTAAATAAAATACATTTGCAAGATATATATACACTTACTGTTAGTTAATGCTTATATTATTATTTATTAGCCCTCAAGACCTATAAGACCTGACTCACTATTGATTGTGATATGAAAAAAATATATAATAGCTTAGTAAAGAAGCTAAGGGGGTTCCTAACAGACAAAGAAAAGAAAATACAAAAACTAGCAATAACATAATAATACAAATAACAACAATACATACCCATTTCGTAATGTTACCAAAAAAAAAAATTTATTCTAACCCTAACTGTGTTGCTAACCCTAAATTTTTCTTAAACTGTTAGCTATTGATCGATAAATTAAATTTCAAATCATAAAAATTTACTAAATTAAGATAATATCTTAACATTAAACAAACTAAACTTGTGATATAGGCTAGAACACCAAGGCAAATCTAAAGAAATGAAACAACAATAATAAAAAGTAGACATGCTTATAAGATAATACCACCATTTTGGGATGATGATGGTAAAACTTAAGGAATGAAATGATAAAAATGGAGAAAAATATAAAAATTTAAATTTGCAAACAAAATAAAAACTAATACAAAATACATAATCCTTATATAACTAAAAATATTTAAAAATTTTTATTTAAATAGCTTCAATTTATTTTAATCAAACCTTGTTTGTATTAAAGAAAGCCAAATAACCCCAAATCACTTTATTCAAATAAACCCCAAATCACTTTATTTAAAACCACAAATATTTAAAAGTTTATTTTCTGAGGTAACAAGGAAACATTGCTTTAACAAACTTATTATATGCCAATGTTATATTTCAAGACATTGTGTTAAATAGTCATGACAAATTTAAAACATCAGCAAATGACTTATAATGGTCGGTACTTATAATAGTATAACAAAATAGAAAAAATGATACCAGAAAAAAAATATCTCTTACTTCAATCAAGTAGAAATCCAATTATTTCCTGTTGACTAATGATTAATAAAGTAAATTTTAAATCATAAAAATTTACATAATTAAACCATGTTCCAACAGTAGAAAAACCAAAATTACAGAACTAAAAAAATGAAATAAAAAAATAACAATAATGGGTATAATACATCATTGTTTGTGTGAAATTTTTAAAATGATGTTCCTTGAAATGAATGTTATTTAAATTTAAAAAACAATATACTAAACTACCTTGAACACAGGACATAAAATTTGCCATGTAAGAAGCACATTTTTTTTTGAGATAAACATTATCAACTGTTTGATCTTGAATTTAATTTATGGTCATTAAGCGTGCTAAACTGACAACATTTTAGCGTAAAGTTTGCTCAACTGTAACCAAGGAATAAATACCCTTATACAACTTGTAGTATGTGCGTGTTTAAATTATATATATATATATATATATATATATATATATATATATATATATATATATATATATATATATATATATATATATATATATATATATATATATATATATATATATATATATATATTAAATATATATAAATTATGTTAGTGTATTCTACAAGAGAGCTCAACGTTGTTAAAGAACAGAGTAAAAATAAATAAGTAAAAACACTTATCTAATTTTTTTTTTCCTTATATATATATAAATATATATATTTAATATATATATCTATGATATTTATATTAAATATATGTATCATATTTCGTGGTAAAAGATAAAATTGGTTAAAAATCCAACCTTGTAGGTTCATTCAGCTTGTATGACTTTAGCCATCTAGTGTGCGTTTTATGTCCATATTCTTCTACCCATTGGTTCGCTTTATCTTCTGATTTAATTGATGCTCGCAATTGAATAACATTTTTATCTTCAAAAATTAACTTTGAATTACATAAAATAGGGAATGTTGAATTCATTTTTTTTAGAATCACTACCGCTGTTGTTATTAAGCAAGGTTTATTATTTTTTTTATTGCGCGAAAGTTTGAATTCCAATTTTGCAGATTTGCCTCTCTTTCAAAATAAGCGAATCAGATTGGCCAGTTTTGATGGCTATTCTGTGCTTATAGTGGGTTTGTAAAGTCGCATTCAGATTATGTGTTTTCAGAATAATAAAAAAACTAGACAACACAACCAAGCTCAACACTTGTAACACCGCTTGGCACTAAACGCTGCCAAGTAACACCACAATTTAGTAACACCGCTTGGCATTAAGTGCCAAGTAACATCATTAGTAACACCGCTTGGCTAGCAAGAATCACAATCTTGCACTACACGTTGCCAAGTAACATCACTTTTCACATGGAAACAACTTAATATAAACTTATATAACTTAAGCACATAAATATAAATAAAGATATATAAACGAACATTTTATTAATTTTTTGCTATACTAATCTAAAATGAACAAAAACAATAAAGTGCTATTTATCGGTTTAAACCTATGAATCTATGTGTATAGCGTCTAATAAAATTTGTGAACAAAAGATATAGCTAAACTGGTTTGAAACAGAGAAAAAGCCAGAAGTATCTTGTAATAACATACTATATTGTAAGTAATAAAACAGTGTTTTTTGAAACAAACAAAAAATTTTAAAGCAAAATTAGTTACAAATTAATTTTAAAAATACTAAATTAAAAATGACATGCCAACAATTGCAAACATGTTGCATCATATAGACCACATGTGGCTGACAACTGATTTTAAATACTATTTTATAATATATCTAAAGAGAATAATGTAAAGAGATTATTAGGTGTATAGTGCATATATTAGACATATTAAACAGATATCATAGAAAAAGAAAAATTTTAAATATTTTTACCAAATCTTTCAAAAACTATATAACACTTAACAAATAAAAGTTAATACAAAAGAAAATTTAGTATTATTAAATATAAAAATGAAGATAAAAAGGTGTAAAAACGTAAATTAATCTTAAAAAAACTTATAGCCAAATTATTAAAAACTTTCATGACATAAGAGTTCTTTTGTAAGTTTAAGATTTAAAAACAGAATTTAAAATCAAATAAATAAAATAGTGAAAGAATAAAAGTTAAAATAATAAAAAATTGCAAAATTAAAAAAAACATTTTTTTAAAAAGTCAATTTCCTTTATAATTTAAGATAAAGATAATTCTACCAGTAGCTTAAAAAAGCTACTGGTAGAAATTAAAAGAGTTGAACCGCTTCCCAGCACCCCTCCTTCTACCAGTGTTGTCCTATGGGGCTTGTCTCCTCCATCAAAAGGAGGGATCAACTCCCCCATATTGACACCACCGGTAAAAAGCTCTTTGAGATATCGGACCTGGGTGCTGGGAGCGATATCGCAGGAAATCTTGATGTGATGCTTAAACTCAAAAACAAAAAAAGAAATAAACTTGAATACAATACTGCACAAAACAACCAATAAAAATATTATTTAAAACTATTTAGCCTTTAAAAAAAAAAGTTATGACAAAAAAAAATAAAAACAAAGTAATGTAAAAATAAGGAAACGCAATGTTTAAATTTCATATATACCTAAACACTTACACAAAACACCCATATAACTGCATAAGCATGCAAAACAGATTACCTGATGGTCCTGCAGATATTGTTGCTATTATAGAAATAAATAAAAAATATGAACTAACACATATATTAAACAGTTATGTAATTGCATACTAACATGAAAAAAGTAATGTTTAGGTTTCAATACACATAACACTGCATATGTATGGAAAAACTGCAAAGTATGGAAAACACATTACCTGGTGGTACTGCACTTAATACTGTTGCTATTGTGGAAATAAATAAAAAAGTATATAAACCAACACATATTAAACAGTTATGTAATTGCATACAAACACGAAAAAAGTAATGTTTAAGTTCCAATACACATAACACTCATAAAACTGCATAAGTAAGCAAAACACATTACCTGATGGTACTGCAGATGATATTGATGCTATTGTGAAAGTAAAAAAAAAAAGTGTATAAAGTAACTTATGTTAAACATTTATTTAATTGATAACAAACATGAAAAAAGTAATGTTTAATTTCAATACACATAAAACCCATAAAACTGCATAAGTATGGAAAACACATTACCTGATGGTACTGCAGATGATATTGATGCTAATCTTAAGGTAAAAAAAAAAAGTGTATAAAGTAACATATGTTAAACATTTATGTAATTGATAACAAACATGAAAAAAGTAAAGTTTAAGTTTTAATACGCATAACACTCATAAAACTACATAAGTATGCAAAACACATACCTGATGGCACAGCAGATGATATTGATGCTATTGTAAAAGAAAAAAAAAAAGTGTATAAAGTATCATATGTTAAACATTTATGTAATTGCATGAAAACATGTAAAAAAAATATTTATATTTTTTAATACACATAAAACCCATAAAACTGCATAAGTGTGCTAAACAGATTACCTGATATTATTGCTTGAGGTGTTAATGTAGAGACAAAAAATATATATATAAAGTAATCTGTAAATTAAGATATGCTATCTTTAAGTTTTAACACACATAACACTTTTAAAACTGCATAAGAATGTAAAACACATTACCTGATGGTACTGCAGATGATGCTATAGTGGAGGTAAAAAATTTATTTACATAAACTAAAATATACTAATCAATTAAACAGTTTATTTTACAGTGATAAAACCGCACACAAATATAAAAAAATGTGTGTTAAAATTAAACAAAATGAAACATAAGTGAACTTTGCATACCAATTGAATTTTCTAATTTTTCTAAATAGAATTAAAAAAAACTCATTAACATTAGGAAAAAAACTAGTATGCAGAATATTTGTCAAATTTAGGAAATCTATAAACAAAGTTGGAACAAAACAAAAGCCAAAAGTAATAATCACGAAACAAAACAAAACAAACCAAAAAAAAAAAAGAAA